CAAAAGCCAGAATGAAGGAGGGTGAAAAGTGAGTGAGAGGAAAGTGGAAATGATATGTGTAGACAGATTTTTCAAGGAGTTTGGCTATGAAAGGGAAAGAGATATGGGACAATAGCTTGAGAGAATGGTAAGGTCAAATTTTCACATTACACAAAGCTGAGAGGGCTAGCTAATACAGATAGTGATGGAGTTAGCAGCCAAAATGATCTTGACAGGCCAGAACATTAGACCCGGTAAGATTATATTCAACAGAATCAAGTCTTTGATGTGGGTTCAAAACGTCAACACTGCCAGTTCAGCACGAAGGAGACACGGTTAGAAAAGAGCTTGTCAAAAAGAGGATCTTGGGGTTTTGGTGGCCTCAAACTCAACAGAGTGATGATATGGCTTCCAAAACAGCTGATGCAGTGTGGACTTCATTAAGAGAGTCGTGGTTTCCAGAAACAAGTGATGGGCCCTCTTTACTCTGTCCACGTCAGGGCACATCCGGAGTACTGTAATCAGTTCTAGACAGCTGGGTTTAAGGACATTGATAAACTCCAGATGAGCACAACCAGTACAGTGGAAGGCCTTGAGGCCTTGTATATGAGAACTGGTTGAAGAAATTGAGGTTGCTTAGGCTGGACCAGAGACAACAAAGTGGAGAAGTGGGGAGGGAAGTGAGGAACACAAAAGCTATGTTCAAATACTTGAAAGGTTGTCATCTGTAAGAGATTAGACTTGTTTTTGTACGGCCTCAGGGCACAGAGCCAAGAGTAGTGGTTGGAATTTGTGAAGACACAAATTTAGACTAGATGTCAGGAAAAAAATTCCCAATAGCTCAAGATGTTCAAAAGTGAAATGTGCTGCTTCAGAAGGTGGTGAGTTCCCTGTCATTGAAGTTCTTTAAGCAGAAGCTGGATGTCTACTTCTCAGATAGGTCATCATGGGGACTCCTTTGAGGTATAGGTTGGAATGGATGGCTGCTGAGGTCTCTTTCAGTTCTCAGATTCTGAGTTTGTGTGATCCTTGAATTCCAGTTCCACACCAATAACTGTCTCCTGAATATCTCTCCTTTGATGTCTAATGCTCAGCATCTTTAAAACAGAACTCATTATCTTCTACCCTAAACCTACACCTCTTCCAAATGCCCCTATTTGTATAGAGGGTACACTGTCACTATCCTCTTTTGCCTAGCTCTAGTCTCTGACAAAGATCTAGCCCTTGTCAACCGAAGGCCACCCCTCTACTTGTGTCGTTGATCCCATCTCCTCCAATAGCTTTCCCCCGTAGTCATCCCCCTCTAATTTTCATTCCCTTTTTGTCTATTGGGTACTACAAAAATGTCCAAGTCTTCCCACTTGGGTTTCTCCTTCCATTGACCTTCCCAGACTCGTAGAATTTGAAAGTTGGAAGCGACCTTAATGGCCATTTAGTCTTAACTCTAAATGAAAGGATTCCCACTATCACAAACCCAGCAAGTGGTTGTCTAGTCTCAGTTTGAAGACGTCAAGGGAAGTGTACCCCACCAGATTTATCTCTCAAGGAAAGCCATGTACAACTCCTAATTGTTGGGAAGGTTTTTCCTGACATTAAATATAAATTTACCTGCTCCTCTCTGTCCCCTGGGGCTATATAGAACCAGTTTAATTCCCCTCCCCCACAACACAGCTATCATGTCCCCCTGAGTCATTTTTCTCCGAGCTATACATGCTTAATTCCTTCAACCAATACTCGTACGTCATGAACATGTTCTCTATTATCCTGGTTGCCCTCCTCTGGACACCCTCTCCAGTTTTATCAGTGTCCTTCTTAGACCAAGGTGCCCACAAGTGAACACAATATTCCAGGTGAGGTCTCATGAGGGCAGAGTGAAATGGAATCAACACTTCAAATTTTTGGAAGCTATAATCCATCGAAGGCAGCCCAAGCTTGAATGAACTTTTGTGACAACCACATCACACTACTGATTCATTTCAGTCTTGCAATTCATGGAAACTTCCACAACCTTTCCAGAAAAACTGTTGTCCATTCATGTTTTCCCCATTTTATATTTGTGGAATTGATTTTTTTGTACTCAAGTGCGAAACTTTACATTTATGAGGATCAAAAGAGATAGTATTCAGCACAGTGCCTGGCATGTAGTAGGCACTTAAATGCTTGTCCCCCTCCCCTTGTCCTGTCATCATTCTTACCTTACTAAGCCCCAACCCTAGGTTCCCTTCATAACCAACCCTCTCTACTCCTTCTTGCATGCTGCTGACTGCTACTAAAGAAAAATCATGCAACTCTCGGCTCATTGAATTTGTGGACTTAATCTCAACTGAACCTGCTATTGCTGTGTGCCAATTCTGTTTTCTTAACTGATTAACTATTACATTCCCTATGATGGGTATTCTAAATTTTCTCCTTCCCACCAGGCTCCTATAGCATATTTTTCTCTACAAAGAACTGCACCTATTTCTTTAGAAAATAAGAGGCCATTCATTTTTTGTTCCTTCTTTTTCCCATAATGCACCTCCATAATAGCCCCTCCATATCATCCCCATTCTTCCCTCCTTTGTTCTAATCTCAGAGGAAGAGGTGACCATTCTCGCTAAAAAATCAACCCCACTACTTGCGCCCTTGAAACCATTCTCTCCTGACCCATCTGAGGACTTTCTCCCTCACTTATTGTCCATTATCACTCTCATTTCTAGTATCTTCTTACCCAATGACTTCTTCCCTAATGCCTTCAAATACGGCCAGGTGTTCCTTCTCATAACAAAACAAAAACAAAAACAAGAAACAAAAACCCTTCCTTTAACCTTACCATCTATTCCCTTTAGCTAGTCTCCTCTCATCCAAACTGCCAGAAAGTAATAGGACTGTCACCTCCGTTTACTCACCTCCCACTGGCTTCTCCAGCCTTTGTGTTTTGGCTTTGAACCTCATCATTTGATTGGAATTATTATCTCTAATTCAAAGGTTCTTTGTAAGTAAGTCTCTCCTTCTACTTGCCCTTTCTGCAGTTTTTAACTGTTGATAACTCCATTCCTCCTCCCTTGGTTTCTATGAAGCTGTCCACTCTTGGTTCTCATATCTGGCTTCCTGCTCCTTCTCATTCCCTTTTGGTAGGCTATCATTTCGTCTCCTGACCACTAAACACGGCTGTCTCCCAAGGCTGTATCGTGGGCTCTCTTCTCTTTTTCTAGATATTCACTAACTCTCCTTTTAAAAATAAGTCCTAAGACTTCTGCCAAAATCAAAGTCAAGCTCACTGGTCTATATAGTCTGTAGCCTCTATTCTTTGTTTCTTTGAAAAAATTGGGTGAGTGTTTCCCTTATATACTCTACAATCTATGGCAGAGGTGGGGACCTGCTGCCTCCAGGCCAAATGTGGCTTTCTAGGTCCTTGGGTGTGGCCTTTTTACTGAGTCTCAGTTTTTTAATAAAAGGAACAAATCCTTTTTCAAAAGGGATTTGCTCTGTGAAGTTTGGATTTAGTCAAAGGGCCGCACTTGAGGACCTAGAGGGCCACATGTGGCATCAAGGCCACAGGTTCCCCACCCCTGCTGTAGACTGTAGAGAATGTAAGAGAAAGTAAGGCCCTAAAGGGCCTCCTCAAAACCCTTCTTTCTGTGGCTCTCTATTGTCTACCAAGTGAAGTTGACATTCCTTAACCTGGAATTCAAGGTCAATCAATCAACTAGCAAACATAAATTATGTGCCTGCTGTACGTCAAGAACTGCACGAGGTCCTGAGGATACAAAGACAAGCAGTCTCTGTTCAAAACAGTCCCTGCGTTCAGATAGCTTCGTTAGGAGACAGCGTGTATATGTATAAGCAGATACAAAATTGACGTGTATAAAATGGATACAAATTAAGTACAAGGTAGTTTAAAGGGAGAGACCCTGGCAGCTGCGAGACTGGGTCCAGAAAGGCCTCATTTAGGAGGTGGGGTTTGAGCTGAGCTTTGAAGGAAACTAGAGATTTTACAAGGTAGCAATGAGTAGCAATGAGGGACAAATTGAAAAAAAAAAACCAAAACCTCGGAGATGGGACAAGAGTGTCATGTGTAAGGAAGAGCAAGAAAGTCAGTTTGGTGTGAAGAGGACTGATGTATAATAAGGCTGGAAAGACAGGTTGGAGAGAGGCTGTGAAGGGCTTTACATGCCAAATGGAGAGAGGAGTTTGTATTTGATTCTGGACGTAATATGAAGCCATTGGGTTTATTAAGAGGAGAAGCAACATAGTCAGACCCGTGCTTGGACAGATGTGGGAAGAATGGATTGGACAAGGGAAAGGCTGGAAAAAGGAAACTGATGAGGAGATGATTGCAATCATCCTGCAAGAGGTGGTGAAGGTGTGCAGAAGGGAAATGGTCGTGCAAATGGAGAGGAGGAGGGGAATGTGAGAAAGGTTATGGATGGGAAATCGATAAGACTTGATGACTGATTGAATGTGCGGGGTAAGGGAAGAATGAGGAGTTGAGGGTGATTCCAAGGTTGTGAGTATTAGTGACTGGAAGAAGATGGTATCCTTGACCCAGACTACGTTGACCAAAGAAGTTAGGGAAAGGGTGGGTTGGTGATGGTGGGAGATAATGAGTTCTGCTTTGGCCATGTTGAGTTTGAGATGCCTTTTGGGATCTCCAGTTGAAATATCCAATAACCAGTTGGTGATTTCGCTTAGCACCTGCACCCTTCTCACTACCCTGTTTTTCAGCTCTCTTTTATGTTACCTCTCCACTAGAGTATAAGCTCCTTGAGGATTCTTATGCATTTATTATGTATTATAAACTCTTTGAAGGCAGTGATCATGTCTCATCCAACCCTTGTATTTTCCCCAGCATCTGGCACAGGGCTTTGCACATGGTAGGCATTTCATTTGTGTTTATTGAACAGAAATTCTTTTGCAAAGTCAGCAAAAAGCCAAGAGTCCTGCTTGACAATCACATGTTTGACCCTTGTTCCCCAAATCTAGACTCATGCCCAGTTCCACACTTCCCTTGAATCCCTGGTGGGGTTTCAAATACACAACAATCTCTACAACAAGCTCAACTTCTCTCCTTTCCCTAAGTCTTCTCTCCTCCCCTTTGGTCTTCAGTTAGAGATCTTTCTTGTTCCAATACTTCCTCTTGATTATCTCACTTCCTGAAATACACCAAAGAGTGCAGCTTATCTTGATGGAGCCAGGAGAGAAGTCTAAGAATTGCAGTAAACAAAGCGCTTGAAACTGTCAGTCTGGAGAATCTACAGCAATAGCTTTGGAGAGCCACACTTGGAAGACTCCAGTCCACAAAGAACCTTCCGTCAAGACTTCCAGGATCTTAGTGGTGGTGCAATCCTTAGAGAAGGTTATATGGCTTTGCTCTTCAGTGCATACTCTGTAAGGGTCCCAGTGTCTCCAAGAGTGCTCTTCACCAGCAAGGAAAAGAAACGGGTGAATTATGAGTCTTGACAATTGCTGATCTTGGGCTTCTGGGGAGGTCCTTTGTAGAACTGGTATCTTAGTGCCAGCCTCACCACCGCTAAGTGGTTCTTTGCCTACACTCCCTACTCATCTCCCAACTGGAAAAAAAAATGCTTGGAAACGACACAACTCTGACACCTGGAAGCATAGTATATATCACTGTAGAGATTGTTATTGGACTTTGTGCCATTGTAGGCAATGTACTCGTCATCTGGGTGGTAAAGTTGAACCCAGGTCTGCAGAATACCACCTTCTACTTCATTGTGTCTCTGGCCGTGGCTGACATCGCTGTGGGTGTGCTGGTCATGCCTCTTGCCATTGTGATTAGCTTGGGCATCACCATTCACTTCTATAACTGCCTTTTTATGACTTGTCTGCTGCTGGTCTTTACCCATGCCTCCATCATGGCCTTGCTCGCCATTGCTGTGGACCGCTACCTGAGAGTCAAGCTTACGATCAGGTACTATTCGCCTGCCTGTGCTGTGGAGTTGGGGAGGAGAATGGGGATTTGGGAGGGTGAGGTTGCTGTGGGGAGTGAGGGTGGTGTACGCAAAGCTCTGCTCTGGAACTAGGTAGGAAGTGTGGTATGGTGGCTAGCGCACTGGCTTCAGAGTCAGAAGGTTCAAATCCTGCCTTTGAAATGTACTACCTGTGGCCTTGGGCAAGTCACTTCACCCCTCTGAGCCATAGTTTCTTTATCTATAAAATGAGAGGATTGGACTAGATCTCCTCTGAGGTCCTTTGCCCTCCAAATCTATGAATTCCCAGCATGGGAGAAGAGACTCCAGCCGATAGTGGAGGTAGCAGGAGGGAATAGAGAACTAAAACCTTTTTCCCCCCACATTTATAGTTCTGCTGCTTAAGCATAACTTCACTAAACCTCCTTCTGACTCCATCCCTACTCCCAACCCTGCACTTTGCTGTCTCCATTTGTGTTCATCCTATTCCCTGTGCCCACTCAAGGGACGGCCTGGCATTCTTTCCTTCCAGCTCTGTTTTCACAGATTGATTGGCTCCCTAATCAATGTATCTTCTAATCAAAAGCATTTAATTCAAATGAAATTTTCTAGAATTTTTAAGTGACAGAAAACTATTTGCTCAGGCCAATGGTAAAGAGACAAAAAGGCCAGGAGGTAGGAGGTGATGCTAATTGGTCTCTTGCTATAAAAATGCAACTTTTCCCCCATTCATTCCCCAACTGGGTACTCAGTCTGGCAAGAAAGTTTTCTATTTGTTCTGTCCTTTGAAAATGTGTCCCCCAAACCAAATTCTTTCTCTCTCTTGAGTGGTTTAAATCTTGATTAAATGGCAAAAAAAACAAAAAACAAAACAGGATTCCAAGTGGAAAAGATACATTTCCTCAAGAGATCAGTTGTGTTCCATCTCTTTTTTTTTGAAGTGTTGTTGATTTCTTTTATTTTGATATAACATACATTTCTGAATATACTCCTATTCCCCTCCCCAGCAAGTTTTACCTTGACATAAAGATTTAATAAAAGAGCTCAACAAAACCAGACGAAATGTAGATCATCTCTTGCATCATATATGATATTTTATTCCCGTAGTCGTTCCCTGCTTCGCAAATGAGAGTAGTGCATTTTCTTATCTACTCCTTTGGGCCACACTTGGTCACTATAATTACATAATAGTTAGTTGCCTTGTATCGGTCTTTCCATTCGCATTGTTGTGGTTGTTATTTATATTGTCTTCTTGGTTCTGTTTGCTTTACTCCGCATCAGTTACTACGTCTTCTGACATTTTCTGAATTGGCCACACTTGTCTCTGCTCATGACACAGTAATATTCCATTGCAGCATGTTTGGCTAATTTCCCAAATGATGCAGTACTGCCGTTCTACATCCTTCTTTCTGACTGCCTTAACCTGGCCACACTCTAGGAAGATACGAAGTGGGAGTGGAGAGCCCCACTGCAGTAACTATTGCTTGGCCCCAGTCACTTCTTCTCTCCCTTCTAGAAACTCACCCCTTTCACCCAAGACAGCAGTTGGAAGAGTTCTTGGAGAAAATAAGTTTATGAATTTTGAAAATTCTTGGAATGGAGCCATAAGATTTAGAGATGAAGTCCAACCTCCTCCTATTACAGATGAGGAAACTGAGGCCCACACAAGGACAATCCCTTCCTAAGGTCACACAGGTTATTGACTATCAGAGCCAGGATTCAAGTCCAGGCCTTCCGGCTCCAGGCCCAGTGTTCTTTTCACAACTCCCATGCTGCAAATGTTGTTGTGACATCATCGGGCCGGCTCCTTATCTATCCCAAATATGACTCTTGTCTTAAGGAAATATCCCCGAAGAAGGATGTGGAAATTTTTATTTAAAATTCCTCTGTTCCTCCTGCTCTCGCATCTATGCTATTCAAGCTTGGAGACAACAGAATATCAGCCCAGTCTTGAGGAAGTTCAGAGGATAGAATATGTGGTCTCCTTCCTCCCCAACTCTCCTTCTCTCCTCTACTTTCTGCCTCTAGGAATTTCTGCCTTAAAACTATCAGTTCTTTCCCCTCCCAACAGATACAAGAGAATTATCACTCAGAGAGTAATATGGACCTCCCTGGGGGTCTGCTGGCTGGTGTCGATCTTGGTCGGACTGGTCCCCATGTTTGGCTGGAACGAGAGACTGAGCCCGGGGACCTCTGGGAATGCCAGCTTCCTCCCATGCCGCTTCCGCTCGGTTATGAGGATGGACTACATGGTCTATTTCAGCTTTTTCACCTGGATCCTCATGCCGTTGGTCATCATGTGTGCCATCTATGTTGACATTTTCTACGTCATCCGCAACAAGCTCAGACAGAACTTCTCTGGCTCCAAAGAGACAGGTGCATTCTATGGGAGGGAATTCAGGACAGCCAAATCCCTGCTTCTTATCCTCTTCTTGTTTGCTCTATCCTGGCTGCCTCTGTCCACCATCAACTGTGTTTCTTATTTCTTCCCTAACACAAAGGTACCCCAAGAGTTGCTCTGCTTGGGTATCCTGCTGTCTCATGCCAACTCCATGATGAATCCCATTGTATACGCTTGCAAAATAAAAAAGTTCAAGGAGACCTACCTCCTGATCCTCAAATCCTATATCCTACACATACCTTCTGACTCCTCGAGCAAGGAGCAAACTTCGGGATAGAAAGCCTGGGAATGACAATTGCCAGTCCCCTTGACCTCATCACTTCCCTTGCTGGAGACTGAGGGAGTCCTTTGGCTCATCATCTCATTGACTGGATCTACACATCCCACTCTGTCTTTGCTCTGAAAAGGATTGGACTCCAGATGGCAGCTATTAGAAAACTCACCCACCTGTACTCTGCTCTCCTCTGAGCTTATGGGAAGCCTGAGCAATAAGTGCCAGAGATTGCTCTGGCACTTGTATATCTCTAAAATGGGAACTACGAGACTCAGTAGGTGGTAAACATGTTGGACAATGATTGAGTTCTGTCCCATTGTATCTACCCTTCTCCTAACAACAGCCTTGTTCTTAATACCTACCGGGAAGGATGGGTGGGAAGGAGACTGAACAGAATGATGGTTTGAACTACTGAGTCAACGTGTGCGCATACTTGATCAAATAAAAGATGATACCTTAACACATAGCACAGCTACTTGCTTGGGGAAGGGTTGCCTGAGAAACAGCAGCACAGCTGGTTGCAGCCAGCACATGGCCAGCTTAGAACCCTGTGGTTCTGCCAAAAAAAAAATGAAAAAGAAAAAGAAAGAAAGAAAGAAAGAAAGAAAGAAAGAAAGAAAGAAAGAAAGAAAGAAAGAAAGAAAGAAAGAAAGAAAGAAA